CAATACAAATGCTTCTGTACACAATGAAATGTGCATTATTTATAGAAAATATACAAATAATATAATAAAATGTATATTTGTGCTTTAAGCATTCATTGCTCTGTTTGAACTCATTAAATTCAAACGTAGTTCGAAAAAACTATTCTCACAGCATATGTTTATCTATGTTAATTAAAGCCTCGAAGATTTTATACAAATATTATTTGCCAGCAAGTAATATTAATTTAATAATCGACTTCAATAAGTAAAGCATTCTTTTTAAATTTGGTTTGCAATAAATTAAATTATTGAGAAAACTTCAAAGTTCTGGTGGTGGACCATACATAGGGTTTAACTGTTGTGTACAACGTATGAATGTAGCGCGGCGAGGTAATTCACGTAATCGTTGTGCACCTGTGTACGTGCATGCAGAACGTAAACCACCTAGCATGTCAAGAATAGTATTTTCTACTAAACCTTTATAAGGCACTTGTACAGTTTTTCCTTCTGAAGATCTAAAAAGGAATACAAATTGATTAAAATTAAGAAAATGTAGTATGTCACAATTATTTTATCAAGTATACCACATACCTATATTCTGCAACCCCTCCAGCATGCTTCTCCATCGCAGTGCTTGAAGCCATACCATAGAATAATTTGAATTTTTTCCCATTTTTCTCTATAACTTCTCCGCCACATTCATCGTGACCAGCAAACATACCACCTGCCATCACAAAATCTGCACCAGCTCCAAAAGCCTTTGCTAAATCCCCAGGACAAGTACAACCTCCATCCTAAGAAGAAACGTCTTTGGAATTATATAACAGAACAATCATATTTCTACAACAATCACTTAAGGGGGGATACCACCTATAGGTGTCCTAAACATAGGTAAACTTTAGGAATTTTTTTGTTGATAACTACATTTTAAATAATATATTTTTATTTATAAATCCATATTTATAGTGAAAAAAATCAGAAGTTTTCACTTAATAGTTATCAACAAAACATTCCTGAAGTTTACCTATGTTTAGGATGTCTATAGGTGGTGTCTCCCTTAAAGGTAAACAAATAAACAAATTTACCGATATTATGTGCCCCTTCAAGCCATGAGCTGCATCTGCACATTCAATGACAGCACTCAGTTGTGGGTATCCTACACCTGTCTTCATTCGTGTAGTGCACACAGATCCAGGGCCAATTCCAACTTTTATTACATCAGCTCCAGAGAGTATCAGCTCTTCTACCATTTCTCCAGTTACCACATTACCTGCCTAGGCAACAATAATTAATCTTTATATTCCATACATAGTACACATTAACACTAAGTAGTCGAATAATATTTTTTATAATATTATGTGTAAGATTACTTACAATTATTGTATGATTGGGATACTCAAGTCGCACTTTCCTAACATATTCAACAAAATGCTGTGAATATCCATTAGCAACGTCTAAACAAATAAAAGATAATTCAGGTACAGTTGCTAAAACGCTTGATAATCGCTCGTAGTCCTCCTTCCCTGTCCCAGAACTTGCAGCTACATTTTTGAGACAGTTGGGATGTTCAATAGCAAAATTTTTCCACTCTTCCACTGTATAATACTTATGAATAGTAGTGAAGAGTCCATACTAAAATGCATACTTTAATTATGATACTTTGATTTATTAAATTGAACTACTCAAGACACAATAATAAATTATAAATAATAATTTCAGGTATACATTATTTCATCACAATAAAGTAAACACTATAAATAATTACAATATACCTTCGACAAAGCTTTTGCCATTTCAAATGTTCCTACAGTATCCATGTTTGAAGCCATCACCGGTATTCCTTTATAAGTTTGTTTAGAGTTACGAAATGTGATTTCTCTGAACAAATCAACCTAAAAATATAAAAATCATATAGAAGTATTATTAAACTGATATAAAATTATTGAAAACAATTTTCATTCCTTCCAAATAGGTTTAATAAATGATTAAAAGAATGAAGATATTTGAACAATATATTGAAGTATAATAATGATAATATAACTCTTTGTAAATGAGTATGATATACATGTTATACAAATGATTTGTAACATTTGTGTTACAAGGATATACACATTATAACTTCAGTATAAAAAAACTTGGGCGTGTTATGCCATTATAATTGTAAATTACATTAGACATTCATAATGCTGCAAGTTTCATTAAAAAAATCAAGGCAAGACACATAGTTAGGTATTTATCAATTTCTTTCGTTTTTAATTATTTTACTTACATCGGATCTGCTTTTTAATGTACTCCTCTTCGGGCGTAATAAAACATCTTTGAAATCTAATTTGATGTCGTATATAATATTAGGCATCTTAATGGATTTTTCCGATTACTTCACTTTCAGCGTACGACTTCGAAGGAGTTCGAAGGGGAATAGCGACTGCACGTACCGAGTCTCACGGTTTTGTTACTATCTCTCCAGATACGAACTATTAATCGTGGTTCACATAACTTTAATAGGAGCATCGAGAAACGTTACTATTGGTTGGGTACTCCAAGTAGAAAAAAAATTCTAATAAAATTGTAAAATTATCTATGTATTTACTAAACAATAAGATTACGCCAATAGCAACGTTATCAAATAAATTAAATATTCGTAATAAAAGACAAAATATATTATTACACAGAAAACATTTTATGTATACAGTTTAATATATTATTAGTATTTATTTTTCTACCTTATTTTTAATGAATTCAGTTAAACTACATGCCATAGAACAGAAAAGACATTGGCATTATACATTTTTTTTACACATCTACTTAACAATTTAAAACAAAAACACAATATTGTTTTGATCACGTGATACTATTTTTACGATTTTAAAAAATATGTAATTAAGAATGTTTCATAATGTAAATAATATTTATAAACATACGTCAGATTCTTTTAAAAATGTGTAAGCATCTGTGGCTAAAGCATTGGATTTTATCTGATAATCTTCAGACGTTATTTATCAGAACGCTAGTTCTGAATATGTATTCAGTCTAACTGGAGCCTAAACTACCCCATTTCCGCTATTTAGCTTCACGATTATTGATACTATAGAAGCCTCAATCGGCATTAATAATAAAATACATAGCGTGTTTGTTTGAAAATATACATTTGAATAGCAACTAGAAATTATTTGCTGCATTTATTGTTATATTGATATTCAACTGTCGCTAAGTAAATTACAGATAACATCTATAGTATTTCATTTCATTATTTTTCATACGTGTTCAATAGGTGAATACAATATTTTTACATGATATGTATGAAGGTGTTTTAAAAGGTTTTCACGTTTAAGAATTGTATATTGTTATTAAATCTTTTTATCTCGTATTTCCGATTCTAAGGATTAAATTATGTACAGTGATATTTATTAATAAAAAAGATTATAATTTTAAACATACATTTTTTAATCAATACCAATTGTGTTAACCGAAGTTACAAAATAAACTTACACTATACATAAATCTTACTGTTATTCTTATAACTGGTTTTGTTTCATGTAAGTTGTAATCGAGATGCTGATACATTCAATAAAATTTGTGACGCACACTGAATATGAAATTTGATGACTAGGTTGTATCATGAGCCACAAAATATTTGCGAATTTAATGAATATGCCACATGAATCATATTATTAAAGCAGTATAACATTTGAAAGGCATAAAAAACAATGACTGGCAAAATTTTTAACTCCTGGCAGTTAAAAATGGGGGCAGTGTGAAGAGAGAAAAGAACGTTTTACATGTCTTGAAATTCGCCGGTACCATTGGCATTGAGCATAAGTATATTAGGATTCTCTTTTTCAAAAGCAGTTGCATCTCTGCCACCAGGTCGTTCTTCTTGCCCCCATTCACCCAATGTTACATTCATCACATCTGATTGATCTCGTAGTTTCTCCTCTTCCTTCTGAGACATTACTAACAATGTATGATGAAACATTATACGAATATAAAATAAAAACTTGTATAAAAAATACACTAGCCACATACAAATTATAAATGAAAAGAAACACTATTATCTATTAATATATGTACAGTCGAACCTCGATAACTCGAGAAGTTTCTTCATTCCTCTCCGTTTAGCTATAAAAACCTCTATAACTCGAATTGTTCGTCTCATATTCGGTATGTATTTTACAATTTCTTATAATTCAAGATTTCGTTCCCTTTCCTCTAAATTCGACTTATCGACGCCCGACTGTACTTAAAAGCAAAGCAAGTACTGAGCAAGTATAAAATAATAAGAAATTAAACATTACTAACACTAATTATATGATATTATTGCTGCTTTTACAAACCTGTTTATCCTCCTGAGCAAATTTGTCGAACATATTTACATATAAATTTTTCTCTTTCTCTAATTGCTTCTTAATAAGATCTTTACAAATTGCAATTTGTTTGGAAGCTGCTGTATTTTTTGGTTCTATCTCTAATACTGTCTGAAAATCTTTAATTGCAATTTCAGGTGATGCTAATGCAAGATAAGCTTGTCCTCTTCTGAACAGTGCCTTCTCATTTTGTGGACTCAATTCCAAAGCTTTATTACATACATCTTTTGCCTCAACATTGCGGTCTAGTTTTAAATAACATAGAGCAAGATTTAAATTTGCAGACAGAAGAAGATTATCTCTTTCCGTTTTAAGGTCGCCTTTAAAGTTGCCTTCAAACGTCATAAATGAAGCAGATTTCCGATACATGTTACTAGCTAAAGAATATTTGTTTGCTTTGAAGTAATTCGTTCCTTTTTCTTTAAAAATCTTAGCTTGCTCTATAAGTTCTTCATTTTTTAAAGTCCACATTTCTGTACTCTGGAATGTACACAAAATTAATTAATCTAATTTCAATTCATTACAATTATATAGCTACTAATAGTATCAGTTACCTTTTCAAAGCTTTTCAGTTCTACTATATATTCTACAGTTGCATTTGGAGGAATGTTAAACTCTGGTTTAGGTTCATCTTTAAATGCATATTTGCTTTTAATTCTTAGTCTTGATTTTTCTCCACTTTTAAACTTTTCTAATGCCTTTTCTACGCCTTCCACAATACCATATTCCTCGCCTTCTCCGAGCGTGAATTGTACATCTCTATCTTCAAATACTTTACCATTGTACATTCCCGTTAAATGAACTAAAAAGATAATAAAATTAAAACAAAACGCATACTCTATATCGCAAAGTTGTAACTTGTTACACTTACTATTCACCAAAACTCCTTCCTGAGGAGTGCTATGATGTTTTCCTTCAACAATTTGATACCTCTCAATGCTTCCATCTTCCTCAGGACTTAAATCTTCATCTTTCCAATCAAGCATTTCGATCTAAGAAAAAGAAATAATGTTCTTTGTTGTTATGTTTATAATTTATACAAACAAATACTTGTCTACTCATCTTTCAAAGGATACTAATAATACTTTTCATGTTTATCAAAAAATAATATTTAATTCAAGCGTCATATTAATATAATTAATATATTACATATATAAATATATTGATTAGGATATAACTTACTTCAAATTTAAGAGTTGCATTTGGAGGAATATCAGGTGGACTACCCTTTGCTCCATATCCATATTTAGGATCACAAGTGAATACTGCAATTTCACCTTTTTTCATTGTGGCTACTCCAATGTCCCAAACTTTTATGACAGATTTCTTTTTAAGCTCAAACTTAAACGGTTCATTACGGTCTCTACTGGAATCTATCTTTGTCCCATCCAATAAAGTACCAACATAATGTACCGTTACATTACTTCCAGCTGATGGAGTTTCATCTCCGACACCTTCCCTAATAATTTCTTTCAATATTTTTCCATCCTGTTTAGGAGATATGTCTATTGTAACCGTCCTAAATAAAGAATGAAACAGTTAAAATACTTTCAATGTAATATCTAAGTTTCATTATTATATTTCATTCACGTATACGTGAAAAATTTTAAAATAAAAATGACTTAAAATGTAATATAAACGTTATATAAAATTAAAATATAAGAAAGAGTTTACTAAACTAATATTAGAAAATTTAATAATACAAAAGAAAAGTTGTAACATTTCTGAATTTGTATTATGCGCTTTTCAATCAAAACAACTACAATACGATCGATAAATAATAATTATACAGAGGAATATGAAAAATACTGATATATCATTCTTGTAACTCAATGATACAGTTTAAAATACTCACATTTTTATGTCTGAACGTGTATATCAATTAAGAAAATACTGTTTTATACAAAGTCTGTTTACTACGCGTTTAAACTCAGGGAGATTCTCTTCATGCCTTGCTCGAAGTAATCAATTTCATGGAATTTGCCAGAAACTCTAGCAAGACTGTTCAATGGTGCGGCCCGTTACACTTCTGTTTCCCCCTCCAATCGTTCTTTTAACGCACATGTTCCCTGTAAAGCGAGTAAACCTCCTTTACAACGAAGGTTCTAGGCTGTCATGGCTGCCTCCTGAGCGTTGCGTGTTTCCGTGACGACATAATCATTGACGAGAGACAGAACAGACTGAACATCCAATGGAAATTTTTGACACAAAAAATTTGTCACTCACAAAGTTATCAACAGTGTACAAATAAATAAAAGTGGATAAATACATATAAAACGTATTCTTTTCTATCTCTTTGTCTCAATATTACATTCTTGTATACACTTGTAATTTCTTATAGACATTTATCAGAATATTAAACAGACAATACAATAAAACCAGACATATTTCATAATAAAACAATGAAAAAAGAGAAATACAATAATACAATTAAAATACAATACGATATGAATACTAAAAATGTACACAATTTACTTGCATAATATAATCGGCGAAATTCTTATCATTTTTTGGAACAATTCGTTTTTATATTTAAAAAACGTTTGCTTTTTTACACGGTTGGTATTACAGACCATCCGTTATCAAGTCTCATAAATCTATCCTATCTCCTGTTGATGACGTAACCCACGAACTGCATGAGAAAAATTTACGTTAGATGTCGTGCCTACTCTGACCCTCGTCGATGATTAGATAAACATCTGTATTATCAACATAGAATAATCTGCTCTTTTTTTTTACATAAATTACTTTAAAACATACCAACATAGAATCAAAATGAAAATTACTACATCAATGTAAAATAGAAAGACGATAATCCACCGAAAAGAAGAAACTCTCTCTAACACGAAGTTCCTTTGTTAACACTAACCATACTGACACTTTTGCTACCGTAACTAGTCAAATAGCTTGCTACAAAATAAACAAATTAGATGATGAATTTTTTTTAGTGGAAACAGAAACAAAAGGAAGGATGAAAATTGGAAAAAATTCAATATAACGAATAAGGAACAATGACACCATACAGGTGTGACAATGACATAATACAGGAATTGATATAAAATTAAATGCTGAAGTTAGAAAACGCTGAGTTTTAAATCTGGTCATTGGACCGGTTTCTGGTACGGTTAGTGGTAATCTGTAGCCAATCTGTCGGTAATGTCAATTTCTATTTGTAGGTAAAGTCAATTTCTATCTGTTAGTAGAAATTGTTTAATTCTGTTAATATTCGTGACATTCTTTTTGCATATGGTCAGTTAGAAACAAGCTGTCATGGAAGTTGATCGATACAAATATTTCAACATTATGCTTTAGTGAACATTGTAAATAAATATATCAAATAAAGATACACGCCGCATTAGCTGTAAAGACACGCCAGCTGCTGGCAATTTCAAGAAACATCATCACACTTTAGTATGGGGTAACGATGTTTTCGAGACACTCACAATCAGTATTTCCCTTTTTAGACATGCTACCATTAAAAATTTTAAAGCACACTTTGATACTCTGAATTTCGTTATCACATTACTTTCCCTTTAGTTGAAACCAAGTATAGCCTCATTACTGCAATAACCCAATATTTTCAATCATTTATTTGTTCAAAGATTCAAATAAATATTTCCACCCTTCAAATAACAATGTAAGCATTACAAGTTTTTCACACTTCAGCTATTAAATATGGACAGAAGTGTGACAATATACTTATAAAGTAAATCAATGTAGTTTCACATACTAAGGAACGTTAAGAATATAAATAATTTCCTTACAAATTATTCAAAAATTCTGAGATCAATCTTATTCAGTCAAGGAATGAGCTGTAATGCTTTATTTTCTAGTCATTCCTTTATTCCTCTTAAACTCTCAATTATAATACTTTATTCAATTTAATAAATCGTCTAGACGAACTACTATTGAAACAAACGAAGCTAAACCGAGTCATTAAATACCTAAATGAAATTTCGCAGCTTATAACTTTAACCTTTTGACCTACAATATCGTCTCAGACTCGTGACGAAAATTTTCAACTCAATTTCAGAAATCTAAATGTTATTTATTGTTTTTAAATATAACTTAAATATCATTTATTATCAATCGTTAATCTTTGAAGTGTACGTAGACGCTGGATAAGGATAAAAATGTTTCCTTCTAATGAACTATTAACAATGAAGTTGCATCGATTTTATTTACGAAATGAATCATAGAGCAAAGGACTAACTAACTATATCTACAGGATTAATTTCATTGTCTTTATACAAAATGTAGAATTGCAGTCATCACAAATATAACCTTTTTCATTGACCTTGATTGACCTGAATCAACAGATTTCATTAAAAATTGCACTTCGTAAAAGCAAGAAAAGTACTTAATGACTCGTAAGTATCCCCAGTTGAAAGCTCATCGAGTAACAAGGAAAAACTAAACAAAATAAAAGGCAGTACGTTTTGTTAAGAGAAAAGTGGGAGATCTCTCCATTCGGTTGGCTAAGTGTTGAGCACGCGAGTACCTGCGCAAAGTTTTCGAAGCATTTTGACTCGTAGAAAGTGAAACACGCTTCCGTATTGTTTTAATATGCAATGATTGCATTAATAGTCGCTGAATCAAGACAGGATGACGTTATATTACGTGGCGCAGTCGAAAAATGCTGACTAGCGCGCTTAGCATTCCGCGGTCACTGGCCGCGGGTCTTGGCCTACTGACAGGCACATATGTATGAAACGTGTTAATTTTGCAGCTCATCAATTCGTTTGCATAGTTGGATCAATCAGGCATTCCGAAATACTTTCAATAGTCCACCGGGTTATCAACCCTTTCAGTATGCAAGGTTTTCCGTTTAACGTGGTCCTCTGGGAAGCTTAGATAATATGTAAGATCTCTGATTAATCTCTCTGTTTAATTATTTACATCGTCGAACAATATAATTCAAGGGACTATCAATCTGGAGAGTTTCCATTACATTATAATTTCATACCAATTGTTCATTCGTTATGCTATTTATTTATGTTTATTGCACAGATTGTGCAACTGATTAATATCATTGAATATTGTTTAAAATTGATGGATTCAGTATGTACTTGGTTTAATACTCATTAAGAATATTTTATAAATAACTGATGAATATAATGCAAGTCAATGAATGATGAACTCTAAAATGGTAGTTATTGAGACTTTCACTTCTGATTCAGTTTGTATATTATTAAGCCAACTTTTTTTAGTAATTTCTTAGAGAAGCTTCTGTTGTCCTGTTAGTAACTGTAAAAGAAGAATTAGGAATGGGCCAATTTGACCTGTTTAATGGTAGTAGTGTTAAAATATAAAATAAAAGATAGAATAATGTTTCCTTCTTTTGATACTTACAAGTGTATTCCATGCAACTGAAATTACTGCGAATATTTGCTAAAAAAGCAAACAGTATTATGTAATGTTATAGAAACTGTTACAGACATTGTTAGGGGGCGTATTATTGAATTCTAAACATAGATACGAGGGTCGGTCAACAAGTAACTTACCCCCACCCTCTAACTTCCGTTCTAAAACAGATATTTAATTGCTTCTAAGTGGCAACACTGATGTAACATTGTTTATTGTTGAACAGTAACTGTCGAGTTATTCGCATTAGTCATTCGTATCATTTGCACGGTACTGATCAACGTCGCTCGAACGGACAGCGTCGTTTATACAGTTTCATTCACACAATTTTTGGAAATGTACAGCTTCCAGAAAATAAAATAACTCATACTCAATTTAAAATTCGTACAGAATTTATATTTATGTACGGCCGAAGAGTCATCGGTGAGTCATTCAGCTCCGGAGTATCGAAAAATGGGCAGAAATAGGTTATCAATGAAAGCAATACATGGAATCATAATCCTATAATTTTCAAGTAAAATACGTAAACATACTTTAAACTACCGTTCTGATAGATACGAGTTACTCAGAAGCTAATAGGGTTATGTTGATTTTTTGATATTTTCTGATTTTTGTACATTTTAATGGAATAAATATTCTTTTAATTATCAAAGAATTTACTTGCTTCTTTGTTTTTTATGAAACATTAATTTTCTAAATTTCCTTCATTTATGAAACATCAATTTTCTAAATTTTCGTTACCTGGACTTAACTACATTACGATTACCTACAAGTGCAAACTGCCAGTCAAAGAATCTTTATTGGTTAATTTCTTCCCACTTATTATCCACATCGTATAGGAAAACTGCAAACAGCACGAAGTACATATGATTTCAAATTTCACACTCATCCAAGTCAAACAGTCGTATCACTAATTTCATTTATTTAATAATCAAAAATACAAGAAATACAAATGGAGTACCATAATAATATCATAATAAAAATCTATACAATCTCAAATCTCGAAGAGTACAATTAGAAGAAATTCTCCCATGAAAAATGGTTTTCCCACCGAGCACCACAAAAACCAGTACGCTTCTGGAATTTCACGTTTCCTCAAATTCAACGTGCCACGTGCAATCTCAAATGTTCAAAACCCATAAAAATCCGCAGTCTAGTTACAAGAATGCATAGAACACGAGCACCGGACAGAATTTAATTTTGCACGAAAGAATCTCCGTAATGGAACTCGTTTGCCGCGTTATGCAGCTCCAACGTGAACGAATCGTCACAGCATTTTTCCCTGGTGATTTAACTCTTTGCACTCGAGAGGTGACCATCAGTGATCATTTGATTTGATATAATAAAATTACAAAGTGTTCTATGTAATACTAAATTTTGTATAATGCATCAATATGTAAAACATTTATATAAAATAGCTTTACGTATATTTCCTCATTAGTCCGCTTCAAATAGTGTCGTTTATGTCTCATCGGAAAATATCGAATGTTTCTAGTGAAAAGCGAAAAGAGTGTAAAGGGTTAAATACTTGTGGAATACAAATTCTGAGGTTGGTTAGTTTGACTCAAGTAGTAGTTTAGCGTTAATAAAATCGACTCGGTGTTGAACCCAACCAAGAACACTAAAGTCAATGAGAATTTAACCCTTTGCACTCGACAATATTTTTCATTTTTTCAGTTACAAACATTCATTATTTTCTGACGAAAATATTTTTCATTTTATCATTTCACTGCGTTGAATCAAATGGCCACTGTGACTCGCCTCCCGAGTGCAAAGGGTTAATGCGATTGATATTTAACCCCTATAAAAATTGTAATATCTAGTTACAAGAATGTATAGAAAACGAGTGAACGAGCACTGGATAGAATTAAATTTTGCACGAAGCAACAGAACGAATCGGCACGGTATTTTTCTCTAATAATTTAAATACTTGTGGAATAAAAATTCTGAGGATTGACTCAAGCAGTAATTTAGTGTTAAATAAAATCGACTCTGTGTTGAACTTAACCAAGAACACTGAAGTTAATACCCACCATAAAAATTGTAATAATATCTAATTTCAAGAATGCATAGAACACGAGCATTGGACAGAATGAAATTTTGCACGAAGCAACAGAATTTGTTTACCGCGTTATGCAGCTCCAACGTGAACAAATTGCAACAGCATTTTTCCCTGGATCCCCAGCCATCAATTACACTCGAAGTTTTTCTAGGCGAGTGTATTGGTCTTGTAAAAGGAGCGTACGTTGTCTCAACAGTCTCGCAATAAACATCCGTATGGCATCCGCCCGCGTCAGAATCTTAATTTACCAGCTGTGTTGCGTAACCGGTCTATTTTCATGCATTCCGAATCCCGCCGGTGTATACGTATCCATAGAAATCCCAATCCCGATTGAAACAATGCCCCTAGCGTTCGCGGCGCGTAATAAATGGAAAAAACAATGCACAATGCTAGAGCCGCCCCGCGGCACACCGCCGCAAACCGTCCTCCACCGGTAAAACAATTCGTTTCTCCTCGAACACACCGGCGACGGGCACATTCGGGTTTAGGAGGGTCTAGAAGTTTTTATTTTTGGATATACCTACGCCGTCCGTGGATCAACGTTTAACCATTGCACTCTGTCATACATAGGATTGTATAATTAACGGTTCGACTGCCACGTCATCGAAATTCGGGTGACACTATTTTTTACGTAAACTTGAACATGAATTTTCTTGGTGACGTATCGGACGAGCCGAACTTTGTTCGATGTAAGAGATATAAGGAAGATAGTGGAGAAATTATTAACCACTTGCGCTGGAAATGAATTTAGAGATTTGACAAAGTCTCGCGCGATAAATTTTGCTTTTACCTATTTTACGCAGATGTGGACATTAATTTCGTTTGCTAATCATTTTGTATAGAGTGATACATTTCGAAACAATTTAATGTGCAACAAGATTATCGATGTGTAAAAGACATCGTTGACCATTTTGAAACAGAAACGTCTCGACGTGCGTGGCACGTCTTTCCAGCGCAAGAGGTTAAGAATCTTGACTTTTTTAAGGTTGGAGAAACGCAATATGATCGTTTCGTTTCCAACGATAATTCGAGCGAAATGATGTTCACCTAACAGTATTAGGTAACATTATTTAAAATACATTGCATTCTGTCATACATGGGATTGTATAATTAACAGTTTGACTGCCACGTTACCGAAATTCAGGTGACACTATTTTTCACGCAAACTTGAACGTGAAGTTTCTTGGTGACGTATCGAACGAACCGAATTTTGGATGTTTGTTGGATGTGTGGGATATAAGGAAGATAGTGGGGGAATTATTAAGAAGAATCTTGACTTTCTAAAAGTTGGAAAAACGCAATATGACCGTTTCGTTTCTAACGATAATTCGTGCGAATAATGTTCACTTAACAGTATTAGGTAACATTATTTACAATATAGAAATATTGTCAAATAATCATCGTTTTATCGAGTAAACTATAAATTCAATTTGTGTGGGTCATCGGTTTAATTTCGAAATTATACATTTTTCACTCGAGAGGTGACTTTCACCACTTAATTTTACGCAGTAAAACTATCAAATTTGATAATTAACCTCAATCGGACCACGATGTGACTTTAAGTGACATTTGAACTTTTTACTAAAATTTTTTGGTGACGTATCGAACGAACCGAATTTTTTCGGATGTACGAGATATAAGGAAGATAGAGCAATTATTCGAATTAGAAAAATCTTGACTTCTTAGTTTCTGCTTAATGAAGAACATCAACTTGATAATTCGACTGCATATGATTTTTGACGAGTGTTTACTTGCCAGTCAAAGTGTACTAATACTAGAACTTGCGAGTATTTAACAGTAGAAGTATCAGATGGCTCAAAATGACCCATTTTGTTTGTTTGTTTCTTTGGTGATTACTGAAAAGGTGCGAATACTTTTACAAATGACTAAAGAAGCTGATTAAGTAATACATAAGCTAAAATTTAAACTAATTCAAACTCATGTTCATATAACAACATTTTGAGGCAACAAAAAATTCACTTTTAAATATTAATATCAATTTACTTTAACTTTGGTTATGTAAGACTTTCTATACGCATGCGCGTATCTACTAAGTCCCTCGTATAGTAACGCGATGGATCTCGCGCATGCGCCGGGTTGGAGGCCCTAGTAACGTGACGCATGCGTATTAGGAAAAACCAAGGTCTATTTAAGGAGACCACGAGGCTGAAGCAAAGTAGAAGAGCAACAGACGTAGTAGCATAAGAAGCAAAATGAAAATTCTTATGTACGTTTTAAAATATCTCTTGGCAGAGATTTGTGCTATCATTTTCAAACTTAGGTTTATCCACCCTCTTCTGTGCGTGTACCAGTAACTATTACTCTCCGAAGATCTGCTTGGTAGCAATTCGAGCTTTCAACAGGAAGCATTAAACATCGAGTTTAAATTTCATTTCTTCATTCTACATCTAAGTGGAAAAATCATGCAGTGTGCTTCCTTGGCAGCGATTTGAATGAACACCATTACGGTATCTTCATTGCAAAGTTGAAATACTGGCTGTATAAAATGACGAGGGACTGACATAAATTATCCCAACAAGCTGGCAGATGTACCTTTCTCTGATTACGTTGTTAAAATGACGTTGTTTGGTTTAATGTTGTCGTTTAACAGAAATATTGAAGCAAAATATATATAAAAATTAATAATTATTGTGAATAGAAATAGACTGCCTCCTTTATTTTTATATATTTTTAAATAACAATTTATGTTGGTCATCTTTTATTAAGGTCAATATTTACATTACTGGTGCACGGTCTTATTAATTATTGTAAATAAGAATAGACTGTCTCCTTCATTTTGATATATTTTTAAATAAAAAGACAGTGCACCAGTAATGTAAATATTGACCAACACTCAATCTGAAATATAAATATGAATTTACAAAGTAACACAACTTTGCAAAAGGTTACAAATTCTGAAGATTCAATAAATATATATTAATTTCCATTTATACTAAAAATCTACTAACAATCTTGAAAATTATTGGTACATAAATTTTCCTTTTAAGCATCCGAAAATTTATAGTCAACACTTCGTATTCTTTTTATTTAACCATTAATACCATTCCGAATTTATTGTTGTAAAAGTATCATTGTACGAATATCTGTATAAACATTCGTTGATAAATAGGAGAAAATTGAAAGAATGATTCTTTCTGAGAGTATAAAGCGAAAATCCAGAATACGAAAATCACGATTTCCTCTTAGTTTTCAAGTTATTAACGATTAAAAATTTCCACGAATTGTGAGGATAGTGACGCCAATAATGGCGCGCGTGAGGCAGGTCAGTAATATAGGAGTGGAGTATGACGTACCACACGAGAGACGAAGACAGAGAGCTGACTCATGCAATGCCATTGGCGGACTTTGATCACTAATAATTTGAAAACAAAGCCAACACTTGCTTAACACGTTAAACGCCACGCCGGTCCCTAGACGGACGACCCGGACGACATATTAGACGACATCGGTTTTTGTTCAGTCAAGGCTTGAAAAAAAAGAATATAATATGTAAAAAAAGTTAATGTAGCTTATTAAAACAGGGTAAACAGAGGTGTGGTTTGCTTTTACATTCATCGCAGAAGGTGCTAACTTTTTGTGTTAAATTCTTTGCCATCTTTGAACCTAATATTCCGGAATTATTATTATAACATTGAGGAAACTCCGGTCCTCAAGCCGATATTTCGACTCGTCCGTCAGCGGTGACGGCCGCGTCTGGGCCTGAACAGAACGCCAAGCAAATCAAGCTGGACACTTAACGTGTTAATTGTTATCTCATTCTGGCTTACATAATACAACAATTGCTTTCTTCACATACTAAAATTAGATTATTTATAAATTTTTTTTATAGATAATAGAATTAAATAAATACTAACAGATAATTAGGCATGCAATTACATGTTGGAAGCATGTATTAAATCAATGGGAATTTTATATATTTGATGAGAAATTAAATGATAATACTATTAATGTTGATAGTAATATAATAAATAATAGAAAAGTTCTATATGAGACATGGTTCATATAAAATTTTAATATTAACCCAGAATCATGTGATTTAAACCTGACACAGGAATCTTAAACATGTTTTACTAAATTAATAGATTCATTATGGAAAATGAATCTGACTGAAAGTATTCTTTAAAACATTTGTGGACAGTAAAAATGTTACTGAGCTGCAAAAATAGAAAAAATGCAAATTCTGTTCTCCGAGAGTTAAAGTGCGTGACAATTTTAGAAAATTAAGGCTATTAGAATTAAATGCGTAATAATATGACTTATAAATGTGAATGTTATAGCATCTAAGTCATCTGGCATCACAATGAAGATGAATGTTATAGCATTTACGTTCGCGAACGTGTTAATAACGTAACTAAATAAATATTATACCTAGCTTTCAGCTAAAATAACAATGGTTTTATTAATCGTTCTTACTCGTAATAAAATAAAATACTTTCATACTGATATCAATACAATTTCTCATTAAATTCTTAAACATTATAAATTCGATATATTAATATTTTAAATTTTAGATTAATATTTCAAATTTTATCTCATAATTTGTTTATAAGCTTTCAGTACACGACTGTTTCCAGAATTAGTTAGATCTCCAGCAACCTACATAAGTAACTTGATTCGTGAAACGCGAGTTCAACGTAGTCCGTAAAACGGGCCGTTGTTCGTAAGCACAGACCGCAGAAGGATGTCCACTACGCTCATTTCCATCATGATCGTTCATGTCTTATAACGTAAATTTATGAGTCCCGTAATTTTTGAAATTAATACATTTCATGTTAATTTCAAAATGATTGAAATAGTCAATCAGATTGTCAAAATAATTGCATTAGTCATTGTTATTGCAAATTGATTTTGAGTTTTAAACCATTTAAGCAATAAACTATTCATGATTAACCTTTTGCACTCGAACATTTTTAACTAAGAATGTTCAATATTTTCTGATGAGATGCAAACGACATGTTTTTGAAAACTAACTTAATAAGAAATTATATATAAATTAAAGAACAAAGCTATTTCAATACTTCATATATTGCACAAATTGATGCGTTATACAAAGTTTAACATTATTCCCTAATTTCGCTATATGAAAGGATTAACAGCGACGAATTTATCTAGATGGTATATAAAAATTAACGAGTAATAAATAATTAATATTCTCTATAACAACAGTATTCATACAGTGTTTCGCATTCGTATACGTTAACAGTATATCAGAGAAAATTACAGATACCTCTTTTCATTAGGTTCCAAACGTGTTACCGTTATTAGAGCACTGCATTTCATTAGAAGAATCAGGATGGCCGCGTGGCAACCTTGAAAGCAGAGCAATAAAAATATCTCCCGAATTCCACCAGATTCTATAAATTGTGCAGCGTAAATGCTTCCTTCAACATTTCAATATGAAGCCAATAATTTTGGCACTACTTCAAACGGCGCTGATCATCTGACACTTCGTACAAGCTGCTTATCTTATTAATCTTGTAGATCACGGTGCACTTATCTCCGATGGATCACTAATAGATGTTGAGGTATATAAATAAAAAAACTTGAAAAAACGCAATATGACCGTTTCATTTTCAACGATAATTCGTTCGAAATAATGTTAACCTAACAGTATTAGGTAACATTATTTACAATACATTGCACTCTATCATACACAGGATTGTATAATTAACACGTTGATTGCCACGAAAAATTTCAGGGTTTTATGTGTCATTTTTTCTTGTATAATGAAAATAAAAAGAAATGATTATCAATTATTTGGTATTACAATTCTTAAGTTACATTATTATCCATTTATTTACGCTGTTGAACATTTTTCTTGGATGCCAGTTATATTACGAGGTGTAATTGTTTTCAAGTTATTCGGAAGCTCCGGTCATCGGTGACCACCGTGGCAGTCAACGTGTTAACAGTTTGACTGCCACGTCACCGAAATTCGGGTGACACTATTTTTCACGTAAACTTGAACATGAATTTTCGTGGTGACGTATCGAACGAGCCGAATTTTGTTCGATGTACGAGATATAAGGAAGATAGTGGGGGAATTATTAAGAAGAATCTTGACTTTCTAAAAGTTGAAAAAACACAATATGACCGTTTCGTTTCTAACGATAATTCGTGCGAATAATGTTCACTTAACAGTATTAGAAAACATTATTTACAATATAGAAATATTTTCAAATAATCATCGTTTCGGTGAGTAAACTATAAATTCAGTTTGTTTTGGGGCACTGTTTAATTTTGAAATAAACCCTTTCGAGAGGTGACTCTCATCGCTTAATTTCACGCAGTAAAACTATCAAATTTCATACAATTAACCCTTGTTTGGGCTTTGAAAATTTGGGCTTATAAACAAAAACAATAACATTTTAATCATTCCTTTTATTTTCATATGTGAATGAGAGTCACATCGTAGTGTGATTCGTTAGAAAAACACGTGGTACGATTAGGGTTAACATTGAACTGTGTATAATGCATCGGTGTGTGAAACATTGAGATAAAAAATCTTCATTCCTCAATTCACTCGCGATTTCTTTTGGAGTTCATTAAAAAGAATGTTTATAATTGGAAAATTTAAAATGTCTCTAACGAAATACTTCCATGTGCAAAGGGTTAATCAATTTCCATTCGCCATCAATCATACAAACTCTAATTCTTCTCGAGCAATCTTCCAGCCAGTGATCGTGTTACAACACAGAGCTCAAACATCCCCAAACCAGTGAAATTCTCAAAACCAAACTTTCTTAACTTTCTTAACACTAGAGCTACCAAGCACTTAAACTGAATTTTCCAAATTTCTTTATAAAACTTCTAATTCTCTATTCATTAAGATTTCAATCGACTTATATTTCAATGTAGGCATCACTAAATCAGCTTCTTTAACTATTTCTCAGAGAAGCATTTGTACCTTTCCGGTAATTATAAAAGAAGAAATCAAGAATGGGTCATTCTGAGCCATCTGGTAGTTCTAGCGTTAAAAGGTACAATAATCCAGAATTAACGTTACGAGCGAGCACTGAAAGGGAAGGAACAATATCATCGGACGAGCTTATTTTTCAAAGAGAAAAGATAAACGTCGAGCATTTAGATTTAAGTCTAGTAATAAAGAAATCGTTGGCTCGCACGCGACTCGTTTATTTAGTTCCTAAAGGTAAACGACTGTGCTCTTGTCAATCCGTCGGTTTCGCGCAACGCGCGCAGCCACGGGAATGTTATTTCCAATTATTATCTTCGAATGATAATAAATACGAAAGCGTTCGCCGCGGAACGGTAAGGTGTCGTTGCGTGATTTCTCATACATTCTCATCAACTCGTACATAGTGTGTGATTGGAAGGTTTTGAGAACAAGCACAGGTGTATTTGTATCTTTATTCAACACTGGAACTACCAACCACTTAAACTGACTTTTCCAAATTTCTTTCTAAAACTTCTAACCGTGTATTTATTAACCCTAACCGTGACTCTCAGTAGTGACTGACTCATTAGTGAATGAAAATAAAAGAAATGATTAAAATGTTATTCTCTTTGTTTATAGGGTCCAAATTTTCAAAGGCCAGAAAAACTTTTGGAAACGCAATATGAAATAATCAAGAAATTTAAGGAAAAAGTTCAAATGTCACTCAAAGTCGCATCGTGGTCCGATTAGGGTTAAAGAAGCAATCAGCAATGGGTCATTTTCACCTTTCTGGTAGTTCTAGTGTTAAGGTGGCACCGATCGACGGTACGCAGAGGACCAACGTTCGACTTTTCCTTTACTAAGATGATCTTACATTGGGTATTATCGAGTAAGAAGAATTCTGTCTACTTTCTGGACATTTGTGTCGTAATGGTAACTACAAGCGATTGTCGGTGAATGACAAAGGATTGTAGGGGAGATGATCATGTGTTCAAATACGTACACATATGGTAAGGTAGAATTTTCTAGGTGTAAAATAATGGTGGAAACTTGTTGGAATGTAGTCTTTTAGCTGCAATTTTAGACTTGAGAAGGCGTTGTGTTTAGGAGACCCTCTTGTCAGCGTTGCTTTCACTCTGTTTTTTGTGTCTCGGGACTTGGAGCTGCTTTCCCTTAACACTAGAACTACCAGATGGGTCAAAATGACCCATTCCAGATTTCTTCTGTTGCACTTATTCAAAAAGTACAGATGCTTCTGTGAGAAATCGTTAAAGAAGTCGATTTAGTAGTACTTACACTGAAATATAAGCCAATTGAAAAGTCAGTTTAAGTGCTTGGTAGTTCTAGTGTTAAAACGGTACCGATTAATAAACCGTGGACGACCAGCGTTTGACTTTACCTTCGCTAAGGTTATTTTATATCGAGTATTATCGAGTAAGAAGAATCCTGTGTCTGTTTTCTGCAAATTTGTGTCGTAATGGTAACTACAGGCGATTGCCAGTGAACGAGGACGTGGGTAAGATTCTAGGGGAGATGGTCATTGAAACGTATGGGAAGGTAGGATTTTGTAGGTGTAAAATGGTGGAAACATTGTTGGAATGTACTCTTTTAGCTGCAATGTTAGGATTTCCCTATCGAAAGCAACTAGTCGTCATAATATTCGGATATCGAGTCACCAGCCCTGCCACCATTTGTAAAACGCTATAAGAATGGGCCCACGGCCCAAAACAGAATAGTTGCATTCCGCCAAGGTAAGAAGAAACGTGACAATTTCTTTCTCCCTGTTTTACGCTGGCTACGGCACGTACTAGTTTGGGAGTAATGTAACTCACGAGGAAAACGCCGTAACAAATCGACGAGATTTTTTCTGTTTATTGATTCGTAGCGAGTCCGTCCTAGAAACTTCGCTCGTGTTTCTTACGACGAGCACAGATGCCACGAGGGACCGCGAGTGATTTCGGTGCCGCGATGTATTAATAGACAGGCAAAGACGGGTATTCCTGACTGTTCGTATGTACGTTCCTACCTTCGATTGCTGCCGATCGGAGTTACCGAAAATTTCATTGAAATAATTGGCACTCGCCGGGGATGATCGATTACTCGATCCTCCGGTAATCAACGCGACTATGCGGCTCGTTTATTGGCCGCTTAAGTGGTTGTAATTAGAGTGATTTATTTGTGATTTTTTATGAATATTAGAATAATAGGATTTTTGGGATTAGAAGGGTGTTTTAATATTGTATCTGTATGGATGGATAGATTTAATTTAGTCCTTTGCGAAAATATTTTGTGATTTCATACTAATTTCTACTGAAGGTGTTCAGAGATATCACTTGAAGTTTTAAGTTAAAATTATTTTCTTAGTTTAATAATTTGTCCCCGATTGAATTTTGGATATTTTCTGTAGCTTATAATCGTTATAGGAAATCGAAAAGTTAATTTACAATATACGACTAAACTTGGAAAAGAAGTTTAAGATAAGTTTAAGTTTCAGAGGCCATTTAAGCCATTTAAGCCATTTAAGATAAATTTCGGAATAAACATTCTGAGGTTGCTCAGTTTGACTCGAGTAGTAGTTTTAGTGTTACAGAAAATCGACTCTGGTGGACTTAATTAAGGACAAGTTAATGAAGATTTAATGTGATTGATATGTAATCTCTATAAAAATTGTAATGATAGCTTGTTTTCAATTTCTTTAGGTATTTATTGTAGGATTTAAGTGGAACTATTTATTTTTGAAATCATTTTGAATATGCTTTGAAGGTGTCGATAATTGTGAAACAAAAACTGAAATTAGTCGACCCAAATTATTTACCAAATAATGTTTATAAAATTCGATACGAGGCAAATCGACTCGTTCCGTAAATCTAGTGTCAACACGTCTGCCATGACAATTTCAAAGATTCTGTATAACGTTACTTAAAAGTAATTAAAAGTAATCAATGGCAAATGGTGTTAAAATGAATAAAATCAAGCTTATAATTTACTGTCCCATTTAATTTTTAGAAATTTAAGAAATTCAGCTTTCAAGTTACGCCATTATTTAGTCACTTATACTGCTAAATATTCTGATTCGATGTAATCTTATTTTATAAATAATGTTAAATTGTTTATTTTAGAAACAGTGTCAAACTTTTCCATTTGGAATTGTAATTTTATTTTGGAAACAGTGTCAAACTTTTCCATTTACAATTGTAATGTTATTTTAATTAACACTTGCAGAAACGTACTTTGCTTCACTTGCAACGTTTAACCATTGTCTGCATTTATTCTACGCGAGAGAAGATTCGCACGGTAAAAGAGGTACTGCATGTTTGAGCCTATGAATCACGAGGCCGAACAGATATATATGAAAAACAGTACGATAATTATAATTCTAAGCGGAAGGAAACTTTACAACCTATGCCAAAATCTATGAAACATACGATTTGCATTCAGGATTATAAAATACACGAAATATTTACATAACAATTAATAGACCACTTTCAAATGTTATTTCCCTCGAACGTTCCAAAATTACATCGAGTAATTATAGAAACTCTCACTAAAAAACTCTACAAAGACTTTTTCTAATGAATCTTAACCGACAAGTGTAGACCTCCTTCAATCACGAGTGTACTGATTGCTTATTAAATCTGTAACATTCTTAAAAATATATAGTATTTCAAATAATATAAATTAATATTTAATTACGAGTATTTAATTACAACTAATCGTTTGAATAGCGATTTCCACGAATTAATGGAAAATGTATACAAAAATATATACAAAATATATGTAAAATCAGATCAATATTATTTCTATATTAAAAATTTAATCAGACTAATTTCTCTGTTTTAATAAACGTTTGTAGAAATTTAAAGTATTTAATTAGAATTACTCGTT